GGTAACATGAGGGCGTCCATGAACTTCATTACCACTGCTGCATTGATGGTCTGCATCTTAGCATCTAAATGTTTATCATCACGTCTAGGAGTTTCCAATGAAAGCACAACCTTAATATTAGTCAAATTTGATTTGCAGGAGTTAATAATTTCCTCCAGCTGTTGTGTGCATTGTACTGCATGCTTGGTTTTTCCATCATTTGTTAATGAGTGTAGAACAATGCAGTCTGGAGTCTCTGTGAACTTCTTTATTTCGTCATGTGTATCTTTCAGAGTGTATGCTATTCTCTTAATAGTGTCAAATTGTGTTGACAACTTTTCTTCCTTTATTTTGTGAACATTTGAAGTCCCAATAAGAAGTACTTTAGGTTTTCTGCCATTTTCTTTACGCTTTCCGTCGTTTTCGTCAGTGTTGGGTTTCTTTGATGCAACTTGAACCATTTCCGTGGTGTGATCTTGTAATTGATTCTGCATATGTAACTTGAGAGACAATGTTGTATGCTTCCTTATTAAAGAACTATGAAGGTATCTGAAAAGTGCTGCGATCCTAATGAAATCTTAAAAACAATTGAATTATATCAATATTTGATGCCGCTGACCAGCAAAAATTTTAGCATTCGTTCATACAAGTATAATTTTAACAATGAAATTGCAGAATTTAGACAGGATCGCAGCACTTTTTTGAAACTACAATGTTTGTTGAAAATATTTATATACTTATCTTTGAAATTTAACTTGGTTATGCCCTTGCACTAGTGATATTTATATGTACACATGTAACATCAATACTTCAAGTCAATATGCTAAAATCGCGTGACTGCCGCATCACGTGACTAGTCTAAATATAAAATAAAATCGTCCTCGACTTTTTCATTTCATACATTTAGACATTACACACTAATAAAACGAAGATTTAAACCTGATGAGAACTTTAGTTTGACAAGGTCAAACTTTATCCAGCTCTCATCAGGATCCCTCATTTCTTTCATAGCCTTCAGGACAGTAATTCCTTTAGGCCACATAACGCTTTTCACCCATACTGTCGGGATAACCCCCTCCTCTTCCTCGCCATCCTCTGTGCACACTGCCCTCTTGGCGCTCTGCACCATATCTTTTCCATTCTACAAGTACAATTCGTAGGAAATTAGAGGCCAAATAATTTTGTATTAACTTTTAATGTGTATATTTAAAGGATTGACTGGAGAGGGTAATGATTTACATTCACATTCAATTAGAGTTTATTTCTACATTAAATTACTTAATTCCCACCTAAAAAATGGTTCGGCTTACATGCAGTTCAATCAATATTGTTTTATGTTTTAGTATAATGATTACATTTTCAAATCAGTGTACATGTATTAGTCAGCATACATAATGATCATGTACATACAACTTCTCTCTATTCCATGAATCATAGGAAAAAGGCCGTGACCTCCTTCACAGGGGAGATAAACAGTTTTCTTCTCCAAATAAGAATGCTCAACCAGCATTCTGTGATAGAAGACAGAAAATAGACATATATCAAGCTGGAATTGCATTGGTAGGTAAGGGCACTTGTCAGGCTTCGTCAAACACATACCTTTGCTCATCTCTTTTCCCCCTTATTGATATACAATTTTGAAATATTTCGCTTACACAATATGTTGTTTCAACGTTGAAATATCGATGAACATCAAAAATTCAAAATATTCTGCTTTATATTAACTTTTGAAAAACTTCAAAATTGCAGTTTTAATTAACGTTGTATCAACATTTGATATAAAATATCGGCAAACATTCAATATTAAAAAAAAATTGCAATTTCAACGTTATTTCAATGATTGACAAATTACACTATCAACGTTGTTTCAACTTTGAAATATTGAAGAAACTTTAATGTTGATAAAACGTTGCATCTTCAACGTTGTATAAACGTTCACGAACCATCAACGTTAAAAAAAGTTACATCTTCAACCAGCTTCAATAATGTTTCAACGTTGAAATATCGACAAATCTTTAACGTTGAAAAAATTGTTGCAGCATTAACGTTGTTTCACTATTGAAAAAAAGTTGAGGATTCAACATTGAAAAACAGCTGTATAGTTGCTCAACGTTGCAACCTATATTCCAGCTCCTTAAAATTTCAACGAAACAATGTTGCGTGCCTGCTGGGTAAATTGAATAAGTTGTATCTTTTTAAGGACCATTTTCAAAAGTGTTAATGTTTCAAGTACTTACATGTAATACAGAATTTTTATAGCAGGATATTTTTTCACACGAAGAAATATTTTAGCAAAAAGCATATACAAAACATAAAACCTACATATTCACCTTGGTTTTTAACTCAAAAAGTTTTTACAGGCATGCTGTTGTATATGGGTTTTTATAGCAGCAAACGGAATGTCAGTTGAACAAAAATAGGGAATATTTCCTCGAAATAATCGTACGGAGAAATGACATTTTCTCCGTTTGGCCAACTCTCTGGGGTTAGATTGTCCACTTAAAGCGGTACTGTGACGCACAAAGGGGAAAAGTGACAAATGTAGAATATTTGCGTGACCCTCGTTAATTTTGTTCAATTCCTAAAAGCATTAGGTTTCAGAAAATTACAGCTTTCAGAACCTAAAAATTCTATTTTTAAGAAGAAAAATAAAAGTAAAAAAAAATGTGTATGCCCCAGACCGAAAATACTACTCAATACTTCTTCCAACCCATTGTACGCGTGCGCAGAAAAGTTGAATAAGTTTCCATGAATACCGTGGACTCAAGCACCCAGGAACGAATGTCAGTAGACCAAAAATTTAGAGGCAATGATTTTAAAACGTTGTCGGAACATATTTCTCACCTTTACATGCTCCAGTTGAATGTTGTTTACAAGTTTGAGCTAATAATAATAGTGGCGTGACCTTGACATACACGAAACAACGAAATGGTAGATGCAACCTTTGTTTTTCTGGCACTTATATCGTGCAGTTTTTTCTTGCAGTTTAATTGTTATAACTTAGTATATACTCATAATTTTCATAAGTCTTTCTCTGTATGCTACATATATCTTAAAAGAAAGACATGATTTTGACTCATTGTGCCGCTTTAAACCATGCCAAACAAGGTTTGTCGCCTTTTTTTGACAGGTTGGTTATCATTTGACAAATGTTCGTGTCTTCTTTTCCTTAATGTGATACCACAAAATCTTTTTGTTCTTCATACGAACCGAGTGACCAAAAGGTTTTAATTATTTCATTTCTTTTCTCTTCTGTAAATTTGATGGAACATTTCAGTTTACATTTACTGCAAATTACAGATTTCATGACCCTTGCTTTAACGGTTTTTAGTTCTGATGAGCCAAAAACTCAAAGAGCTAATGCTTTGGCCATAACTCAAGGATTTCATTGATGGGACATGTAAAGTTTGACAAAAAAAGAACACCAAATGTTGTAAAAATCAATTTGTCTTTGTTAAGGCAGAGACTTGCATCATATTTGAGACATTTAAATGAAACCCCATCTCAACCAGCTTGCACCGCTGTCGTTTTGCGTCCAAGGTTGGCCAATGACTAACTTGGTCTTTTCTTATTATGTCGGCAGGCTTTTTAAAAAGACTATACGTTTTGGAAAAGGCTGGGGAGAAATGCATGCCCTTCCTGTCTTACGTTTTGTGTCTGTCATTCTGCTTAAAGTGCAGGAACGCAATGAACAGTTTTACCGCGAAAGATATGCTCGTCCGGCTCGAACTATATTTTAAAAATGCTGAGTATGCATTTCTCTCAAATTAGATAATTTTACAGTCACTCACCTGCATGTATAACCATTTGCGCTTGATTGCTGAACACACCATATTTTAATCTTGATTATATTTAAGTCCTAGTCTGTCATCTCCGTGCTGGCTGCTTAATTTTGACATCTAAAAGTCTAAAGCTAATCTCCAGATGATTGTGTTCAACCTAACTAAAAAGAAAAACATCTCCATTTTAAAGGTTTTTTTTATTCAAGTATGGTACATACACTGTATATATTAATATAACAGTTATATATCAGAAGGGTCGTATCACGTTGAGATGACAAGCGGATCATCAGATCTAAAGATCCGAGTCTGTCAACTAGACGTGCTTTTCAATATTGACACTTAAGGGGGCCGACTTTGACATCAGGTGTAATGAGTCATGCGCACTGTATTTGTCTTGTAGAATTTCTTCGAAGAGGTGTAACTGTGAGTATGATAAGTGGTTTGGAAGCAAAATTTTGAAAAGAGCTACTGTATCAATAAAACCAGTGACTGAAGATGAGAATGCCTCCAAAATGTTTAATTTACTCAAAATGTTGAACAGCACAGGAAGGTCAAACACTTTGGAGTTGTGCCCAAATAAAACAGCATCTGAATCTGATTTCTTCATGAAGTCAATAAACTGGATCAGTGCATCGTTAATGCTGACTGTCTCGACCTCCTCATCTTTGTCGTACATTTTATTGTTGACTATTCTTATTTCAGTAATTTCTGTAACTTTAGAGGACACAGTAGTTTTTTGGGGAATGATGTATTTGTTGAATACCTTATCATTTCCAATTGCAGACAACTGCACAATATGAAAATTCGTAGATGAAAATAAAAACAAGTAAATTCAAGTTTTTAATATTAAAAACATAAAGATAACATATGAAAATTGATATGTGCTTGATTTCAAAAATTTTGAAACATTGTTATACTGTAGAAATCCTTTTTTCGCGTGGTCGTCATTTACGCTAGTACGCGGTCACAAATTTTCCGCGGATGTTTGGCCTAGCGTATTTTATATAAATGTAAGGCATATAATCGCAGTCTAGGAAAACCGCGTCATTTTCCTCTAGACATAACTCCTTCAATGATGCTTGAAATCTTTCAGAATATCCATTTTCTAAAGTTTTGAAAGATATAAAACATGCACAACTGCTTGTACCAGTACCAGAATTATGGAAGCTCAAAAACTACCTTGATGTCATTTCAAAACATGTGTTTGCTTTTCGTCAATATTGACAACTTAATTCAATAATGCCGTAAGTCATTGTGCAGTATTGTGTTTTGTGGTCGAAATTAAACGGTGGTAGAAATTTTCCCGATTTACCTAATTAAGATGCATTTAGTTAGAAATTGAGCCTAAAAAAAATGAAAATTTAAAGAGAAGAATCGAAAATACATAACATAATTTGAAGCATTACAATTAGAAATTCCAGTAGGTACCACAAATGCAAGAAATGTAAAAAGGTCAATAGTGGAATCGTTTGAAACAGAGACTTCAAATATGGCAATCAAGTCCATGGAAAATACTTTCAAAGAACAACAAATTGAAATTAAAACTTATTTGTGAAGAACAGATAGACACCTCGAGACAGAGACCTTTAAAAATGTGACTAGAAAATTAAAACAAAAAACTCAGAGATAAGAACTTCCTTTTCAAAAAGAATTAACAAAAAACGAGATGAAATGAAAATAATTACTGCCAAAAAATATCCAAAACTTGCGAGGGGTTGCTCATATTTTCTAACGAAAAATCAGGATAAATGCTGAGCTAAAGAACTGCTGTCTCTCAATCAGAATATAAAGTTATACAGAAGTTATACAGAAGTTATACAGAACTTGCAAGAAAAGTATTTTCAGGATAAATACTAACTATTTAGAGAATATGATATGATATAACATTTGCATAACATACGAATAACATTCATCGAGGTGAGCTTCTTGTATGCCAGAGAGGTCAAGTGGCTGCAATTCCCTTTAGCTAGTACACTTACCCAGTATGCATTTGAACGATGTTTCTTTTCACTTTTTAGGAAATTCCATTCTGTGAGCTGCAAAAACATCAAACACACACAATGCAAAGCTAGATCCAAGGAATCGCGCATCGTGTTTTATATACAGCAGAAGAACTGTGTCAGCAAATGTACACATTGTAACTCGGTTAGACCAGTGGTTTTCGGAATAATGAATATCCCATCCCATTGGTTTCTGTGGGTTTTTTTTCTGGTGTGTCTTCCAGGGTGGGGATAGGAAATAAAGTCGATTCTTCTGTTAATATACACGGTCCGTTATTCATACGTTTTGAAATATATCTACAAAGACATTAGAAAAAAGTTTTTTTTAAAAACAGTCATACATGATTTGAAGAGAATGTAAACTATTGTTCAGACAGAAAACATTCTAAGCAGCTTCACGTTTTTTAGGTGAACGTTCAAGACTAGAAAAGGGAGCAGTGCCCTCCATTTTCCCTTTCGTCGATGGCACAAATAAGCAGGATGTCGGAGGAGAAAGATTATTGATTGTATATTGTTTAATATGTAATGAATATGTAATATATAGAGTAGATTTTATCGATTGTATCCTCAAAAATGAGAAGAGGGAGCTTTTTCAATTGTGTAATATTCTAGGTGCAAACTGAAATTATGAAGGAAAGTTAATGTTTATGTCACAAAATATTAACTCTCATAAAAATGCCAAACTGTTCAGGAGTCAATACAAGTCAGGAGAACTTTCCTGGAGTCGATACAAGTCAGAAGAACTGATCAGGAGTTGATACAAGTCATGAGAACTGTTCAAGGGGTCGATACAACTCGGGAGAACTGTCCAGGAGTCGATACAAGTCAGGAGAATTGTCCTCCAGTCGATACAAGTCAGGGGAACTGTCCAGGAGTCGAAACAAGTCAGAAGAACTGTTTAGGAGTCGATACAACTCAGGAGAACTGTCCTGTAGTCGATACAACTCTGGAGAATTGTCCTGTAGTCGATACAAGTCAGGGGAACTGTCCAGGAGTCGATACAACTCAGGAGAATTGTCCTCCAGTCGATACAAGTCAGGGGAACTGTCCTGGAGTCGATACAAGTCAGAAGAACTGTTCAGGAGTCGATACAACTCAGGAGAATTGTCCTGTAGTCGATACAAGTCAGGGGAACTGTCCAGGAGTCGATACAACTCAGGAGAATTGTCCTCCAGTCGATACAAGTCAGGGGAACTGTCCTGGAGTCGATACAAGTCAGAAGAACTGTTCAGGAGTCGATACAACTCAGGAGAATTGTCGTGTAGTCGATACAAGTCAGGAGAACTGTCCAGGAGTCGATACAAGTCAGGAGAACTCTCCTGTAGTCGATACAAGTCAGGAAAACTGTCCAGGAGTCGATGGGAAATTTAAACGACGTTTAAGGAATACTGCAAGGGAAAATAGACTCTTTTGACCGAAATGCACAGCGATTCTCCAAATTACTGGATGTGTCGATTTGTTTTGAAATATTAATAAAACTAGACAACTCATCTCAATTCTAGTTTATTGTGTGTACTATGTTACACGTCAAGTTTATGATAGTTAAAAATATTTATATATTAAAGGGCGCTGTGTGAATTTTGGATTTAAAAATCAACGTGTTTTTTTTTTTACTTTTGAAAAAGTATACTTTCACTATACTTTTGTAGTGGAGACACCTTGCATTAACACGAGTTATCGTTCTTGGCTCCTGGCGGCGAAGTGCGGTTATTCTTTACAACCGGTTCTCCTCTGCTAGGATCCGGAAGTTCCCGACGCTGTCCGCCTGATTTTCCATATAGTTGTATACAGTCATAATTATTTCAACAGGAACTTGACTCCAATTTCATTGATTTCTTCTTTATAGCGTCTCATTCACCTATTATGCCTTCCAAACTTGATTCCTGAAATTAATTTCCATCATCTTCAAAGTCTACAAGAAATTTCCACTGCACACCCTTTTCTATTTGTTGTTTTTTGTTTATTCTTATCATCAATAAATTATATATAAATTAAAAAAAAGTTTTTTTTTATTCATTTATATCATGAATTGGAATCTTGTTACACTCGGGACTGTTTAAACTAAAGTAACCATCATCCTGTTATAGAAATTGTGGGCTTCGGCCGCGGGATTCGAGAATTGTTATATTTGTATTGCATTTATTCTTCGAGTTTTAAACTCATTATTCTGTGTTGAATTATTGTAAATTCTGTTTTGAAAGCCGATATGGCATCACATTTGATTGACAATTTTAGTGAAGGTTTGCGAAATTTATTTTCGCCTCGCAGACTCGGATGTTAACAGAATTGTAAATCTTAGTCAAGGTTTGTCAATTAATTCAGAAAGTATTGTAGCTGAAGTGAAAACCATACTTTCTTCAGATGTACACAGGGTGAACGACTTTGTATTTCATGATGCTGTGGAAATCACCAAAAGTTTATAACTTTTTGATTATAGGTCAAAGCGACCTACGTTTTGTACGCGACACACCTACCCAAGATGTATCAGCTGACAAAGTTTGATAACTCTAGACCTTATAGTATTAAAGTTATAAGCCGGACACGAGAAAAACTAACTGACGGACGGACAGACAGACGGACACGAAGTCTATAACATAATACGTCCCGTCTTAAGACGGGTGTATAAAAAGACTAGCTTAAGATCAGCCACCCCTTCATCTACTCCCGCTGAGGATACCTTTTATGGAAATTACATAGCCGAAGCCCTGCGCAAATTAGATGGGGGCGTAAGGTCACCTGTGAAACTGAAATTTCAGACCAATTTTTTGGAAGCAGAGTATAGACATTTGCAGAGTCAAGGGGGCTATTCAAGTCCATCCTCAACTATTCCACAATACGGAATGAGTCTACTACCAATGAGCCAACAAAAGGGAGTGGTAACAAGACCCCAGCCTATGACCCATCGAGGAATCAGCCCCCAACCAATGGGTCAACACAATGGAATGGGTGCAAACTCTCAGCCTTTGATCCATCAAGGAATCAGCCCCCAACCAATGGGCCAACATTGGACATAATCATAATAATAATAATAATAATAATGTTTTTTTTTATATAGCGCTTTTCTAGCATAAATGCTACTCAAAGCGCTTTACAATACATTACATTATTACCCCAGCAGACCTTAACAATCCAGAATCTTTCTCAGTGCAAGCTGCAGATATCAGCGCTAGAACACTAACATTCTGACAATATCTTTCACTGTCTATAGCCAGGTACCCCTTTTACACTTGGGTGGAGTGAGGAAATTCGTGTAAAGTGTCTTTCCCAAGGACACAACACCGGCTTGTCGCGGCCAGGATTCGAACTCACAACCTTTCGGTTTGGAGTCCGGCATCTTAACCACTGGACTACCGACGCCACATTTATGGCGGTAAATTGTATAAATCGTACATGGAAAATGACAGAACATTGAATTATCAAGAAAATATTGCTTTCATGTTTAATACAGATGGAGCATCAGTTTTTAAAACTAGAACTGTCCAAACGGGACATAATACCCCCGCTGGGTTTTTCAGAAGTACGTTTTTCCATAATAAAGAAATGTATCAAACAGAAATTATGAAATTATTTTTTCAGTGACCTTGAAGTTCACCAAATGACCTTGGGTCAGGGTCATGACACACCCTTGGGTCATGGGCAATCTTTGTATGAAATGAGAACCTACCAAGTTTATCCATAAGAAAGATATGGACCAGACACGAATTATGAAATTTTTCTTCTAATGACCTTGAAGTTCCCGAAATGACTTTGTGTCAAGGTCATGACACGCCCTTGGGTCACCAGCTATCTTTGTGTGAAATGAGAACCTACCAAGTTTTACCATAAGAAAGATATGGACCGGACACGAATTATGAAATTTTTCTTCCAGTGACCTTGAACCTCCCCAAATGACCTTGGGTCAAGGCCACGACACACCTTTAGGTCACGGGCAATCTTTTTCTGAAATGAGAACCTACCAAGTTTATCCATAAGAAAGAAATTACTGAAATACTGGCACACTCTATCGAGAGCACCCGATCTTGATTGATTGATTGATTGTATATTGCTTAACGTCCCTCTCGAGAATTTTTCACTCATATGGAGACGTCACCGTATGCCGGTGAAGGGCTTCAAATTTTGACCTTTACTCGGCACTCAGGGCCATTGAGCAGTGAGGGATCTTTATCGTGCCAACGCCTGCCGCTGACACGGGGCCTCGGTTTTTAAGGTCTCTTCCGAAGGACCCGCAACTTTCACTTCAAAGTGCCGAGCGCATGGCGAAGGAACAGTTGCTACCAATTTTAACGACTAGGTCAGTCGCGGCCGAGATTCGAACTCACGACCTCCCGATCACGGAGCGAGCGCTCTACCGACTGAGCTACCGTGAACGGTTCACCCGATCTTGAAGAAATATTCAAAAACAAGCCAATTATAGCTTATAAAAAACATAAAAATTTAAGAGATCGCTTAACTAGTTCCAAACTAAAATGAATGTTTTAAAAACATCACTTACTGGTCAATTACAATGTAATAAACCAGATCATTCACTGATATTTTAAATTATTGTAACATTCCTGCATATTTCTACTTACAACTTTCATCTATGTTTATAAGGGTTTCAGATTGAAATAAGTAACTATAGGACATATGGCATATTCATCTGAAAAGTTATAGGCCATTTTGTCCTAAACTTCATAAAACTATAGGCCAATAGAAAAGTTCAACTTAATCAGATTTCTCTCCAACTTTTACAAAAAAATCATTTAATTACAAAAAATATTCAAAAATGTTGATTAATTCTTTTTTTTAAGAAAATAATATTTTGGGTTTTCTTAACAAATCAATTATCTAATTTATTGAAAGAGAATGGGATTTTTTTTTTAAAATTCCATTCAATGGGTGTTTTACTGATATTAGTCCTACCTTTTATTACATGTACAGTCATGTATTTATTTCCTTTTTTTATTACAAGTTTTTAAAAAAGTTATCCAGAAATTAGACTTGTATTTCTCATTACACGTATACATGTAATTACATTTACAGATTGCCTAGACAAAAAATGTTTTCCTTTGTAAAGTAAAACCTTGCATTATTGTCGTTTCTGCTATTAGTCCGATCCTATGTTCAACCATAGCGGTAAAAATATCAACATGACATGGATTCCTTTGATGTTTTAAACATTCATCACTACTTTTATGCTCATTACACTTGGATTTGAAAATAAAACTAGATTTTTTGTCAAGATCTAATACCCAAATGTCATTGGCTGATTGAATCTGCAGTTGCAGAAAGTAGTTGAAAAAACCCAATCGGATCTGAATGGGGAACTGGCCTTTATATAGAGAAGTTAATCGGCCACTATGTCTGTTCATTGTTAAACTTACAGGCCATTTTGGCAGGTCAATTTGATTTTTTCCGGCCATTTTCAATTTTTATCGGCAAATGGCCGATGGCCGACGCCAATCTGAAACCCTGAATTTATAATCTAAATAAACATAGCATGACATTGGGATATCCCCTAACCGGTTCTTCGATTAACAAGAGGCCCATGGGCCACATCGCTCACCTGAGAAGCTTTGAACATTCCGTTCTTTACCAGATTTCCCCCTTGTAATACATATTGTGACCCCATCCTACCCAACTAATCATAATTTAAACAATTTGAAATCTACACTACCATACGATACTTTGATTCAACATTTTAAAACTTTGAATCCCCATTGTGGCCCCGTCCTACCCCCGGGGGGTCATGATTAGTACAATTTAGAATCTACACTATCCCAGGATGCTTCCACATAAGTTTCAGCTTTTCTGGCCCAGTGCTTCTTGAGAAGATTTTTCCTATATATTTTCTATGTAAAACTTTGATTCCCCATTGTGGCCCTGCCCAACCCCCGGGGATCATGATTTAAACAATTTAGAATCTACACTACCCGGGGATGCTTCCACATAAGTTTCAGCTTTTTTCGCTCAGTGGTTCTTGAGAAGATTTTCAAATATTTTTCCTATATATTTCTTTGTAAAACTTTGATCCCTCATTATGACCCCACCCAACCCCCGGGGGTCATGACTTTAACAATTTAGAATCTACACTACCCTGGGATGTTTCCACATAAGTTTCAGCTTTTCTGGCCCAGTGGGTTCTTGAGTAGAAGAATTTCAAAGATTTTTCCCATATATCATTATGTAAAACTTTGATTCCCCATTGTCACCTCACCCTACCCCGGGGGTCATGATTTGAATAATTTAGAATCTGCACTACCCCAGGATGCTTCCTTGTAAGTTTTCTGGCCCAGTGGTTCTTGAGAAGTAGATTTTTAAAGATTTTATCTATATATTTCTATGTAAAACTTTGATTCCCCATTGTGGCCCCGGCCTTTCCCGAGGGGTCA